TCCCATCCCTGCTGCAGGCAACTGCAAAACTCCCATTGACAGGGACAGAAGCAGGAACAGCTCAGTCAGATCTGATGCAAGACACACTTGTTCTCCTTTCAAAACAAGAGAAAAACAACGTTTATTCTGCCTTTCTTCAGGTCAGAAACAGCCTGCTTGAAGCTGCCTTGCTGAAGAAGGAGCTTCGAAGTGGGAAACTGGATCTCACTAAGTTATTTTACACTGCTTACACAAGCCATTCATAGAGCAAGCTTCCTTACTGAAGTGAACTGCGTGTCCTAAGGGGACACTGTGGGCAATTCTTATTTCAGTTCCTGCCACAGACGCAAGTACACTCTGGTCCAAGGCAAGCCTTTCAGTGACAGAGCTGTGCATAGTAGTATGTTAAATATCCATAGGGTTGACTATTCAAATATGCCTTTGCACATGAACCCGTACTGCTATCCTGGCACAGAAGTAAGAGCCAAAAGACACCAGCATTCATTTCACTGGATCAAAGAACATAAGGCAGCAGCTGCAATCACTTTAAGAGAGGCGGGGGCAGAGGGGACAGCAGCAGACTGAGAGTCCATGGTCAAACGGCCTGATCTTTGCTCCCATAAGGAACAAAACTGACTCTTTTACAAGTGCTGCACAGCTGCAGCATGTCTAGACTAGCTTCTCGTGTGTTACACAGAAGAAAAATGCTTAAGAAAGTAGTAGTGTTTGCTTATGTCAATCATTAGACAACACCAAAGGTCAAATGCTGTCCATATTAGTACCCACAGAGCCCCTGGGCTTCATGGGTGTAACCAATGACACAATTTGGCCACAGCAGCCTCTCCCTTTTTCTCTCCTGCTCCGACACAGAAGATGTCTTCATAAACTGTGAAGCTAGATGAAGGGGATGGTTAGATCCTCTGGACTTAGGGCTGGCTAATTCCTCCTGAGCCACAGGATGTACAGTTACTTTCCACTGCAGAAGATGCAGAGCGGATCAATGGGTTGCTCATTTTTTACTGCCAAAGACCCCGCTAGAGTTTACTTTTCCTCCCCAACTCCCCAGAGAAGCTTTTACGGCATTTCCTTTTCATACCCCACATTCAGTGATTTGCATGCGACCTCAAATACACCCCTGAGGCTGCGGTCCAATTCCCCAGGGCTCCGCAAGAGGGTCCCAAAGTTCCTTAGTAATTCAAAAGCGGCACATCAGAAGCTGCTGCGGTTTAGAAATATCAGAAGGACCACTTGAAAAATGACTGAGCAAATCTATTTCAAAGTGAAACAGGAGATAAAAAAAAAAAAAAATCCAGGAGCAGGTTTGTCACACCGCTCCACAAATGCCAATGACCCTTCGATAAATGAACTTATGTGCAAACAAGCAGGTACTTTAATCAAACATAGGCACCAAGGGCATTTTCTCTCTAATGTACACTGAGTTTTTTTCCCCTTCTTTTCAGCTGTTCCTTCTCTCAAGTCTAGTAAATACATTAACCCTCCAGCAAAAAGGGGGGGGGGGGGGAGTTTAAACTCTTCTTTTTCTAAGCCTGAAGATTTTTGTTTCTGATCCTGAGCTCATTGTGCCCTGTTTCGTACCCTTGGAGCGCTTGCTTTCAGCTGGGTATCCTAGGAGGTGTGTGCCAAAGCTTTAGAGCACTGTGCATGTTGGACTCCGTCTCGAGGGTGGTTTCTAAAAGGCTGTCTCGCGCTTGGGAAAGGAAAGTCTCTGCTTTGCGTGTTTTGAAATGAATGTTTCAGGGAGACCCTGGCCAGGTCCCCTCAAGTTTATTTTCTCCCTTTGCATAAACTGGGGCATTGTGCGCGTGGGGGGCACATTTCAGTCATTCCAGGCCAGGCGGGTTGGCACAGCCCTGCACGACCTGATCTGCTCGTTTCTCTCTCCTGGCTGAGTGAAAGTGGCCGGGCTGTCAGCCTCGGGATCCCAGGTGCTGTTAACTCCTCCCTGCCCAGTCAAACCTAGGGCTTGCCTGGATGAAAAGGCGCTGGTGCCGCTTTCAATCCACACGTGGGTCACTGAAGAGACATGGCACAAGGCTCAGCGGGCTGGGGTGGCACCTAGACTTCTGGTGGCCCCGGACGAACTTTTAGTATTGCCCCCCCTTTGCCAGAGAGCATGATAATCATAATTAAAAAATACCATTTTCAGGCCCTCTTTCTGTCCGGACCCCGAGCGGGTGCCTGTGTCCAGCCCTGGCCGAGGGGGCAGAGCTCAGAGACCCTCAGCCCCCACCCCACTTGCCCCTGGCACCTCCAGGGCACAGGCAGCAGAGACCAGCCAGCCTCAAACCGGAGTCACTCCATTTAACCCCTTCCGTGCCGCACACAGCACTCATGCACCCCGGGGCCAGGGGGGAGCCCCAAGCACATTAACCCTTTACCTTCCAGCAGGGACCAGCCAGCCCCAAACCGGAGTCACTCCACTTAACCCAACACACGTGCAGTCCCCCCACTTACCCCAACCCACGTGCGCCAGGGCTGGGGGGGCGGGGGGGGGGACACCCTCCTCGGCGCATTAACCCTTTACCTTCCAGCAGCACCTCCTTGCCCGCCCGCTTGAGCGCCTGCACCGCCTCGTCGTGCGTGGCGTCCCGCAGGTCCGTGCCATTGACGGCCAGGATGGCATCGCCCACGTACAGCGCCTGGGTCTGGTCGGCCGCCAGCCCCTTGAAGATCTTGCTGATGAGGATGGGCATCTTGTTCTCCTTGCCGCCCTTGATGCTGATGCCCAGCCCGCCCAGCTCCTGCTTCAGCACCTTCACCCGCCGCTTCTGGTTGGACAGGCTCTCGGGCACCTGCTCGGGCGGGGCGGTGAAGGCGGTGCGCAC